GCAGCTCCTCCCCAGAGAAGGGGGGCTCCGGGCTGTGGGAGCAAACTCTTCCCCCTCAGCCCACTCCCCTCTGCCTGGGGGCTGACCCACTGCAACAGCCCGCCCCTCCGCGCGCCTTGTAACTTCGGGGGCGCATTTCTCAGCGTGCTGCGCGGATCCCCGCCTGAGGAGTTCTCATGCTGACAAGCCCCTGGTCCTGCGCGATGCTCGGTGGTTGGCACGAATGTCATGCGAGGGAGAGGCCAGGCAGAGTTGGACTGGAAATCTGAACAGTGCAGCGTGTTTGACAGTCTCCGTTTGGTTCAAGTAAGGAGCCATTTGAAATCCGGTGCCAGGAGAATGAAGTGATTATCAGTGAAAAGCAGAGGTTGTATTTACTGGGTGCAGAAGTGCTTGGGGCAGGGGGGAAAAGAATCTAGAATAGCACAGTTTTAATGTATCCTTAGCCACTGTCTTGCTGATCATTTCAAATCCAAGATGAGTTCTAGACAGTAGCAATTCTCCATCCCTGAAACATGGGGCGTTTAACTGATACCTGAGTCATTACTTAATGGCTCAAATTCATATCTGAGGTTCTTTCTATGTTGTTTTCCATCTACTGGATGGATAGCAGTATTTTCTATACGACTTTAAAGCTACACCTGAGAGATTCTGAGTCCTACCAAACATTGTTTCGATATTGGCACCTTTGATGATAAATTCATTTCTTGTGTGCCTATTACTTTACATGCCTGAATACAATATGCATATGTTTTGATTTAGTTTTTGGATTATTTCCTTTCTTTCTTTCTGATGGTGTTTCAGCAGGCTTCCTGACAAGATTAGGGGTGGGTTTTTTTTAAAGCTTTTTAAATAATGAGACTACTGTAGCACTCAGTATTTTCCTTTATTTCAGTTACATAATTGTAGTTTTAATTCAAAGGATGAATGCAGAATGATTGGGAAGAGCACAGACAGATACATACTGACATGTATTATTTTATATATCTTTATAATCTCCTTGTATCCAGTATTTTGAACATAACTCCCAGCTATTAGCATATAATATATGGTATTGTCTCAAAATATTCATTTTCTGGTGATTCTATAGTAAGAGGAGCTGAATGAGATGCATTAAGAGTGGATTGGACAATCCATTTTATCAAAATTATTTTTTCCTTAAGATAGTAAAACCTTAAGATTGTATCCGCTTCTTGCTCTGCTGTTAGTAAGACAAGTCCTAAGAGTACCCTGTACAACTCTACTATGGAGAGAACATCTGTGCTGAACAGACTAAAATTTCTCTTTTACCAACAACCCATATTGAAGACAATGTTTAGCAGAAGGAACACTTTAATTTACTATTCACAGTTCTAGATATAATTTGCCAAGAAGGTAAATTAAGTGCAAGAGAGCTAATGTTTCATTTTAATTTCTTCTGATATCTGACAACCTTTAGAAGCAGGTGACCTCCAGTATGTTATCTTTGTGATGTGTACAGTTACTGTCATGTTATCTCATAGCAAAGTATTCTGGATAAACCAAAAGCTGCCACTTCAGTTCCTCAATTTAATTTTTAAATAGTAGCTACTTGTAAGAAAAAGCTCTATTTAAGATATTTGGATTTAAATCTTGTCCCTATTGAAATCAATGGTAAAACTCCCATTAACTCCAACAGAGGCAGGATTTCATTCTTGATTTTTTTTTTTTATATCATGATTTATGGCTGAGTGCCAACTAGCTTTTGAGTTGAAATTGACATGGCAAAGTCCAACTTCAGTTAGTGGCAGAATTTATAACCATTCTCCATAGAATTGCTATTGCATATTGGCTTATGCTTAATAAATACAAAAAAATTCCATATTCAGTATGCAAAATTATGTTTTTTAAAAGAATAGGTGCCCAGACTTTAAAGGTCTTGTCATGTTAGCCAGAATTTTGTGTTGAAACTTTTGCATCATAAATAAGTTAGATAGCAATATGGTTTTGCCCCATATTTTAAAGACAGATATTGAAAAATGTATAGAAATATGTATGTTTCTGAACTAAAAATTCCATTCTTATTTATTAATATTAGTTTTATTAATATAGAATTGGTTGAAAATGTAGAGTTTTACTAGGGTCCAGTTCTACAAGGTGCCCTATGCACCTTCAGGAGAGGCTCGTTACCTTACAAGATTGAACCATTATTAATTATTTTATTTTCTGGATGGCAACAACAATTAGCTGGTTAAACTTTGTGGAAAATATAGTTTAATGGGTTCTATTTTTAAAGACATGTACTTATTAGAGCAGGCCAGTTCTAATAAGGTTGAGAAATCGATTGGAAAACACTCTCAGAGAAGTAGCCTGCAAAATTTATTATAGAAATTTCCTCTCAATTTTCTACCAGCTCAAAATAAGTTTATTTTTTTTTAAAGACTTAATCTAGTATTTTCACTCTGATCAATTTGTGTTACAAAATAATACAGAGATTGAGACTTCATTTAGCAGCAATGGTGTCATGGATAGTCTACTTTTAATAGTATAAAAAGACAGCTTTCCTAATGAGCTATTGCAAGTCAGTAGCATAGCCAGAACTAGAATCCAGGTAGTCCTCTCTCTAGTCCATCAGTCTCTGGTTTGACGACATCTGTGGTCCAGCATGATTTTAGTTGAGAGATGTCCATTTGTCATGGGCGTGGTCAAGTTTCTCACGGTCCCATAGTGTGTTTACAATTCTGGCTCTCAGTGTTCCGTGCGGTTATTTAGCTCTAATTGACCCCTAAAAGTCTTCTAAGAGCCAAGTAAGCAGTGGAAGTGTTGGTAATGCTGCTAGACAATACTGATGTCCTGTGGTTCAGCATATTCTCTGGTTTGGCATCGGTCAGGTCCCAAGGGTCCTGGACTAGAGAGGTTCAACCTGTAGTATGCCAGAGCACATTGCACATTAAAGTCAGTGGGAGTTGAGGCTGCTTTCACCCAAAATACCCTAGATATCATGAGCCTTAAATGATCACTTAATGAACATGTCCTGAGAGAAATAACTAATGTACTATAACTAAAAAACTGGATCAGAGTCAGTTAACTTCAATGTTTACTAGTAATAGCCTGCCAGAGAACAATGTTATAATTACATAGTGTTTGTTCTTTGCAGTTTTTGGTCATCACACCCACTTTTTGTTTTGGCATTGTTTTTTACACTAAGGCATAGAATGTGAACCCACTACACACTTCAATACTATAGCAGGGGTCTCCAGACTGTCCCTGAATAAAAAGATGCTGAAAGTTAGTCCGCAGAGTTGGGGTGGAGATATTTGGGTTAGTCTGCAGAGTGGGGGACAGGAACCTATGGTTATATGAATCCAGTGTAGCTAACACAGGATACAAATGGCACAGAGGGGCAATGGTCATTATCTCAGACTACAGACATAAATCTTCATTGTCAGCAGCACCTGCAGCGACATCATAAAAAATGACTGACTTGATATCCACCCGGCAATTACAATTTGGAAAGCTTGACAATAGGGCAAGAGCCAAATTCACTAGCAGATAGTGAAAAGCCTGAATTTGGGCATATTGTAACTGGGCTTCCTTTTAACCAACACAG